TTTTTTCCCGTCTGTGTCTGATATGTTGCACAACATTGAAAGAAAGAAAAGGCCTTCAATAATCGAGTTCACTGTCTTGATTGATCTCTGGCTCTTTTGATACAGACAAATGATTAAAATATTTGGGAATCATGTAGAAATTGGAAAGTCCTAAAGTAATCAAGTTCAAAATAAGAAAAACTTGTTCTGGTTGCTGTGTAGTGCCTAATGATTGAAGCTATAGCTTGAGTGTCTGCAGCATTTCACAAACAAAAAATTATCTTGGGGAGTCTCTACTGTTCTATGAAACATCCAAGAGCAGGCATCCCATTTCTGTAAGAGATATGAGTGCTTTGCTGCCCCTGTATGTCAAATAAGACATGGAAATAATGGCTCGTGGTTTGATTCATCCACAGTCATCTGCAGCATGTGAAAGAGAATTATGTCCAATGTGTGAAAGGGGAGACTGGAGAGAGTAGTCTGATCCATGATGTTACATGCAAAAATGAGAGTAATAACATTCTGTCCAGGCAAGGATAAACTCGACTGTCACTGCATATTGCCCACTAACCTCAGTTGCCTTCCACTGCTTGATATCCAGTGATAGCGATTAAGCCATTAGAAGCCGCAGTGCTCGAGTGGGAAAAGCAGGTGGAAATTTTCCCTATCAGAAACAACTTTATGGACAACCGTCCATGCACTGTGCTTGGATTTATCAGGCCATTCTCAGCAGGGAGACTTGGCCTCTTATCTTAGAGACCATAATTGTATTACATTAAAGGAACCTAAAAAACAAAGACTACACAAGTTTCAATCAAGCAATCCTACTTGAATGAAACACACCTTTAATTTTTTATCTTATCTTTCCCTTGGAAGGCCATGAATCATTCAGTTGGTTTTCAAGCCTACTTCAGCAATTCGTTATCATGACGTTTGATGCTTCATAAAACATTAATAATGTTCATATTTGGAATAAAAAGCTGAATAAACATGTAACTCCTTCCTTGGTTTCTGATTCACATATCTTTCCCTTTGAGTTTACCGAGTTGGCTCACCTCCATACACGTTTAGAATGACATTTTCACACCATGATCACTTTGTCTGCTTCTCTTTCAAACATGCTTGACATGAATCGAATCTAGATTAACTCCGTTCTAATACCACTAGTTATGCTCTCCTTGATAATACAATAGCAGTGATTAGTGAATTTGACATCACATATCATCATCATCATCATCATCATTTCATCATCTTCATCATGAGAATAAGAAAACTTGCCGTCATTGTGAATTACTAGTGCTTTTTTTCCTAAATTGAAGCCCAAAGAATGAAGCATTGAACTTAAGTTTGCAATCTGAGCCCACTTGAACGAGTCCCATTTGAATTGTCAGGGGATATATCTGTGGGCTTCCAAGATATGAGAAATGGGTCCATTTATACAGTGCGAAGCTCTTCATCCAACCCAAAACGGCGGGGCTCCGGTGTTTCGGCGACAGTATGGATGTTTGTCCCCTACAAGATCAAAAGTATTGGCGAAATGGTTATAGCAAAGCCCACATATGACTCCAATAATTTCCAAAATTCTGGCTTATAAGAGTTCAGTATTATTAAGAGGGCGTTTAAAGGTTAAAAATCCTTTGGTTGATACGTAAATCCTGTTTTTTGATTTGTGTTCACACAAGTTCTTAACTCTAATGAAATATTAGTAATTATCAAATTCAATATTAATTTATATTTTTGTTCCCGTAACATATAGCATCATTACGTATTTTATTTTATATAAATTATCATACAACAACATTATATATAACATGAATAGAAGATGTTAGTTAATATTTAATTTAATTGTTAATTTTTCATTAACAGATTGTTCAGTAAAGACATGATTGCATAAATAAAAACAATTCAAAAGCCCTTTTTTTTTTAACATTTAAGCCTAAATCTTACCTATCAAATCTCTCTCTCTTTTTTCTAGAAACTGACCTACTTGGTGATGCTGCATTAATATTAAAATATAAGAACAAATTATAGTACTTAGGATTGTTGGTAAACGATGACCCTTATCCTTTTGGAATCTTGAATTCAAATCGTGCCCAACATAGACTTCTCAAGACATTTGAAATTTGGGTCCCAAGTAATACTTTTCAATGCTACATCTCCATCATCAATCGTTTAAGTAGTGGAAGAGAAATGAATTATTTTAATGCTGAAAATGGGTCATGACTGTGACTTAAAACTTGAAGCACAAGTAGGTATTCTCACGAGACCAATAATAAAACAAAACCTAAACTAGCAGTTATCGGTCATCTCACGACACCCACAATAAAACAAAACCAAAACTAGCAGTTATCGGTTATAGTTTCACCCGATCCCTCTAACGTTGGAGACCAGGAAAAAGTCTCGATTCAATGTAACTTTGTCTTCTGTTCTTTCAGTCGAGCTAACGTGGCCAGACACCCTTATGTCAGCCATGGTGTAAGCCAAGGTCCGGTATGTTGTCAGCCGCCTGTCCATGAGGTCAGTTTCAACGTTCAAGCGATTCCTGTCTTTTTCCAATGGAAAGTGAGATTTTTTTTATTTATACATTGAATCCTCCAACTTTCATGAAAAAAATATTCATGTGAAAATTATAACATAGAAGAAGAAGCTTTCCTTTATAAGTAAATGTCACACCCAAGTCAAGGTGGAGTTAAGATTCAAGATTGAGAGAATAAAAAAAAATTAATATTTGAAAGAGTTAAATTTTAATTTTTTTAAAATAAAGATTAAATTATAAATGTTTGAAATTTGAGAGACAGGGTCGACTAGCTCCTTCCCTTCGCCTTTGCACTCAAGTGATTTAGGCAATTTTTTAAAATTTATAAATATTGGTATTTTTTTTACCGAAATAGATTTTAAAAAGAAATAATGGTTTTCTGAAAAATGTAATATTAGAGCAAATTATAATTAAATTCGACACAAATTATTTATGATGATGAAAACGTCGAGATATTTTTAAAGAAAATAAAACATAAACCTTATGACTTTATTAAATGAGTCTTTATAAAATAATGGTCTCGTGACAGTAACGTCAATTTCGAAAAGGAGATGACATGGTCACGCATTCTTACGTATGATAATGGTTTATCTGTGTAGATCCACGGCTCATTTTAATTTAGATTGCCCCAATAAAAACTTGGGTGAGGCCTATTCCTGGTTCAGAAAGCAATGATAGCAACAGTGAAAGTAGGGTCTGGTTTTGAAAGCATGTGATTCCTTGAACCGAGACCAAAAGAAATAGCCCATGTGACCAATATGCAACTTGGCAGCTGAAAACTAGCACTAATAAAATAATCTCTTACTCGATCTTCAAGAACTTTCAAGCATATGCTTTCTCTGATCCCTATGTTCAATTACTTGGCTGCCCATGGTTTGCAGGCCATCCAATCCACTTAGCTAAGTACAAGCAGGAGGTCAAATCCGACAGAAAATGTTACACTCCCAAGCGCAGCCCTTACTCAGGGGTGGCCACCTCTATATAAACGTGAAAAGGGACCCTTCCTGCCAACCAAATCCAGTTTGCAATTCAGACATAGCACCACAACCTTCAGTTCTTCTGTCGACTTCACCACTCCAACCTTAAACTCTCCGAAGAGGCTATTTCAGCAAAAAAACACCTATTAGATATGGCTGGTACAGGGAGGGCAATGATCAACGGCGGGATTTACTCTCAGAGAATCGTTGGCCGTCCGATTCCCAAGCGGGGTCAAGTGAAGCTGGCCATAGTGTTGGGCCTGGCCCATTCTGTTGCTTCTATCTTCCGTCGGAGTAGCAGCCGGTGTGCAACTGCTCCGTTCCCTCGGCGATGAAAGACCATATTTGGCCTTGGGAAGCCGAATTTTTTGATACGATGGACGTGGGCATTTACGTCCTTTTGGACATATATGAACATCCTTTAGCCTTTTTCCATTTTTTTTTTTGCTTCTTTTAATGTAGCGAATGTATTATAGTCTTTGTAAGAAGAAATTTGGATTATAATTGAATTTTATTGTTACTTGTGTATATCCTAAGAGTGAAGTGTTTTCCTTTTTCTTTTTCCTTAATAAACACTATGAAAAAGAGGCGCAGTCAAAATCATCCCTATTATTTTTTTATTATATATATATGATTATTTTTATAAAATTCTGAATTTATGTGGGCCAAGACCCCTTAATTTGAACAGAACAAACATTGTGATATCTCCTTTCATGCTTTTTTACTTTTTCATACATAAAGTAAAAGATGTCTGTACATATAATATGAACATCACAATTCACATGGGAAAAAGGGAATATCCTATGACGGAGACCAAAAAGATTTAAGAATGAAAGAAAGTTAAACCAACCATGAAGGAGCTTTTCCACATCTTTCGACCAATATTAATAGTAATATTAAAAATGTATATAATATTTAAAAATATTTTTAAATTATTTACAAATATTTAATAAATTCTTATTTGTTCATTATATTGAATCAACTTTTTAAATTTTTATTTTAAATTAAATAAATTTTTATAATTAATAATTAATTAATTATTATTTATTAAAATAATGTTTATCATTTTGTGTCTCACGTGAGATGAGATGACAGTCTCACTTAAATTATAACAAAGTTACATACATCTTTAAATTATAACAAAGTTACATACATCTTGAAGGATAGATCAGCATAAAAAATAATAATTAATTATAAAAATTTATTTATTTTAATATAAAAAATTAAAATTAATAAAAATATAAAATTTTTTATATTATAATAATAATAATAATAGTAGTAATAGCAGCAACAGCAATAGAGTTTGGTACGATAACAGACAAAGCAGTGGAGATGCATGCATTTTCTGCTCACATTTTTAATATGGAATTGCAACTCATTCGTACAAGTAATTAATCAAAAAGGTACTTTGAGGTGGGACATTATCAAATAAATACACCAGATTTGGTGATCTAAATTGATCGACCAGAATCTAATCTCTTCCAGGGATTTCAGGAAGTTCATTGTATGAAGCCAACGAGACATCCCTCTTTTTTCCTGCTATTAAATTCAGTGAATGGCTGAAAATGCTGTCAATTCTTTATTTGTCAACTTACATATTTATATAATTTTTTTACTTATATTGTTTACAGTAATTATTTGTAATTAAGTAATGATTAATTAGCTGTTCAACTCCTCCAACTTGACAAGAAAAAGTAGAGACGGCCTTTTAATCTTCGTGACTTCGAATCAAGATTGTGACTACCCACTAACCTCAAAAAGCAGACAAATCTTCCGCCACCACCTTTTTCTTTGACATCAGGGCAGGGCAGATGATAAGCTTGACGTGGGCCAATGTTTAAGGGTCGGATTAGCACGGAGTTTTAAACGGAAATGGGTTGCAGGTGTTGCTAACCGTTCGATCTTATCCGGTTCATGCAGAGTCGGACCGGATTCAATGGATAAGGGTGAGTAGAGGTGAGTGACAGCGAGACAAAAGTCACCGTTGGGTGTATGCAATAATGGGGTCTTCCTTTTTGTATTTTGGGCTTTTCGTTAATGGGAATCGAGCACGTGCTTTTAATGCGGACATGATAGCAATAATTTGACTTCACATCTTACTTTTCTCATTTAGTTTAGCAGACTAGCATCTTTGTTGTCGCTTTGTTTAAGTAACCGAGTCATCATTTATCATATAAAATTGAATTTCAAATTAAAGAATGCCATGTTCTCACCACCTCTGGAAACCAAGGGCAATTAAAGAAAAACCAAAGGCAATTAAAGAATGCCATGTTCATACTGTCCGTCAAACCTAGGGTATCTTTTGTTTTAAGTTTCAATAATTAAAAAAAACATTGTTGAACTAAGTGTATTTACGTAATTGAATTTTTATTTATGTAAATTTATAATTTTAATAATAAATTAATCATTATTAACTGTAATATTTGAAGTAGTCAAGTGAGTTTGTTCTTCGTAAGCTGTGACGTAATCACATCAATTATTATAAGTAAATAGAAAATATCAATAATTATTAAATCTGATGATTATTAATTTTTTGTTAAAATTACAATTTTTGAGGAAATATAAATCAATATAATAAAAGATAAAGATTTAATTGTATGAATGGATATAATTTAAATATTTTTTTAAATATTTATGTCTTTTGATTTAATACGCTCTAAATATAATGTGAATTATTTTATCACTCAAAGAAATTGTTTAGGGAGCTAATTTCAGCTTATCAGCTTCTTTCTTCCCACCATTTCAACTCTGAACTATCCACTAATGGCTGGGTGTGGTTTGTTATGTTGCAGAAAAATGGAGCTCAGTGAATGTGAATGCAACAGTATGTAAAGAGGAAAGGTCAACAACGGGGAGTCACAGTCAAAGTATGTGTGGCATGACCGCAATATCTACTAGAAGCAAAGGGCAATCAATATCTACTAGAAGCAAAGGGCAATCGTTCTTTTTCCACTCTATAAAATCATGACAAGGGACAGCCAGCTAGTCACACAACTCACCCAACACATCAAAAGTGAAGCCCGGTTTCCAACAAAGGCTCTCCGTTTTCTTCTCGTTCTCTTCAATCTTCAGATCTTTGCAGAAGCTAAGGGAAAGAAAAAAATATGGCAGGAGCAAGAAGGGAATTGATCAACGGTGCGAATTTTTCACCAAGGATTGCTGGACGTCCGATCCCAAGGAGGGGTCAAGTGAAAGTGGCTATATTGGTGGGGATTGCCCATTCCTTTGCTTCTATATTTTCTCCAATTAGTCGCAGGGCAGCTGCTGCTGCAAACTTGTCCTAGCTCTACATCTATGTCCCAAACAAGGGAAGAAAGAAAAGACACGAGATTTTGATGATTTTGGAAGAAAGAGTGGGACGGGGTATTGCCTGTCCTAGGAAAGATGTGAGCTGTCTTGTTTTTGGTTGATGTTCATGTCAGTTTTGTACATTCTTTGTAGTAATAGCTTTCAGATAAATGAATTTTCATTTTGTTTTTCTATTAAATATCAGTTTATCTGAATGGGTTCTGCTTTGAAGTAGTGGGCGGCAATGTTCTTTCGATTGATTCCCATTTCCCAGTACATAGTTCGCGAAGAAAGCAATTTCCAAGTTTTTTAGCTAATAACAGAGCGGATCAGCTTTAAGATTAACGAAAGAGGGATCTTGGCTTCTGACTCAATTGAACATCCTTGTCTGTTCCTACTTTCAGTTGAGTTAAGAGGTCTCCCCAGA